GTGCGGAGTAACGATGCGATGGAAGAGGTGGGGTGTGTTGGGCCCATTCACAAAAGCACAGTGCTTGTTCACTTCGCGTGTCAAGGGCGTCATGGCATTTGTGCACCACTTTGCACAAGTGTGACGAGAGCAGTATTGTTGTGGCGTGAGAGTTTGGTCTGACAATAACAAGGGAGAACAACACGGGGGGCAAAGTCGAGGATGACAAGAATAGAAACAGACAGGGGAGCGCTAAGTGGATGGGACATTGTGAGTAGATGGGCAGGTTTTGGAGAATGAAGAGATGAGGTGCAACTTTCGACGTTGGGAGAGGTGTTTTATGTAGTCAAATGAGCGTATGATTGTGCTGAATCTGTGGGTTCGTTTTCGTGTGCGTAGGCAGTGGAATATGAGTTATGAGGCGGTTTTCGTGAACGAATGTAATGGTGTTGTTACAAAGGGAAGCGGTGTTTCACATGAATGTGGTTATAGTGTAAGAGTGATGTTTGGATGTAGTGTAAATGGAGTGCACTATTGACTGGTACGCAGTGTGGAGGATGTTGGTTTATAAGTTTCGTTGTGATGCTTTAGTGGGTTTTTTTGGTAGTGAGGATGATGTTGCATAGTTGATCTGGTGTTGGATATTTCTGTTTTGTTTTGTTTTTGTTTTGTTTTTGTTTTTTTGTTTTTTTTTTGGGTCGAAGTTGTTACAGCTGTCATAAGTTGCTAAAACCAAATGGTTTGTAATTTGGTTTTGTCTTAGTACCATGGAGTTGTTGTTCATGTAAGCAATGCGTACGTTGTACAAGTTGGGAATGTCGTTTGTGTTTGGCAATTTTAGTAGGTGATTTTGGGTCCAATAAAGATCGCGTGTTTTTTGTGTGCGTAGTATTTTACTTTTCATGTTGTTAATCCGATTTGTTCAGAATAAGATTTGCTTTTGAGTGGTTTTGGCCCGAAATGATGATGTATGATTCAGGATGTTTCTCAAGATTTGCACAATAAGTTTCACCGCCAGTCAATATACACAAAAAGTGTATATTTTAGGTTGGCCTGGTACATTCATTGCACGTGTATCATATATGTTACTGTTTACATCGTATCATTGTATACATCAACAATCCTGGCATGGGCTTGAATGATTTTTCTTCGTGTGGTGTTATTAGATTTTTGCCTCCTTTTAAATGTTTTGATACACTTTTTCCAAGCTGTTAAACTTGGTAATGGCATCAGACGAGATTTGAAGAGATTTGCATCGTTCGATGTGTAATCGGTTTAGTGGCTTCACCATCCAAGCTGATAATCGAATTACTGCTGTCTTGTGCTGTAGTTGTGCTTAGTAGCAACCAGTACCATAGCAACCGCTGACCCTGATTGTCAAGTGTTGAGAATGCTACCTCTCTTCGTCTGCAACTTAAGAATTGGAAGGCTCCGTGGGTTGAACAACGTGGTAATCTGCAATATGTTTTTGGTCTACACCAATTTCTTGTTTTGAATTAGAATATGCAGGAAGTGTACACCTAATTTTTTTTGCATCATGCTTGTTTCTCATACAATTGGATAGCTTAATATATGTAATTCAGTCCTACAGCCGTGCATATGATATGCAATATTTTTTTATCACTTCATATTTCTTTGGATTTTATTGACAGTGGAGTAGTTTGGGACGCTGTGATCATTGTATTGGATACTGCTTTCACTTGGGTCTGAAGGTAAAAACTTAGTACATGTAACTGTGTCTTTGACATGTGTAGAATTGAACAATGTATTAATTTTCATTCAATTTTCTTATGGAATATAAAGGCATTGAATAATAGCTTCTAGTAGAATCTTCTCACATGAACTATTGGTGTCATCTAGACTTTAATTCATCTCTATTGCCCAACCTTGAGATTTTTGTGTTTTGCTCAAATTTCATGTAACTCAAGTTTTTCAAAAGCTTTAAGCCTTTCAAAGTAAAGTCTTTGTAGTTTGTAGCATGTATGTCTAAATTTGTTTTAGAAAGTATGTGAGCAAAATCTATAATTATAAGCCCTTTTTATAGAAGTAGTCTTTATTGTACCACACACATCCAATTGTACAATGTCCATTGTGTGTTTGGTTTTTATTCTTCTACGACTATTTTTTTTGTACAAATGTTATCAATGTTATTGAAATCTTTGGATATCATATTTAAACCATTACAATTCAACTTTATGAGTTTTATATCATTCATTAAAAATTAAATTGGTGTCAAATCTTGTATATCATAAATACTAATATAATAAAGCAAAACTTGTAAGTAGACAAAATTCTATATTTTTTTAATTCAAAGTTATATAAACTAGAGCATGTATGTTGATATTGTTTGAATTTATAGTTATATTTGCATTGAAAGGTCTGCATACATACACATATATATATATATATATATATATATGATTGAAACTAAAATTTTTCATAGATGTATATAAATAACTACCTAATCCTATTCTTTTGTGCTTGCACCTATAATGACTTTTATAAGATTAAATGCCATGTGAATGGTCCAAGGTATTCATTTGCCTTTAGAGAATAACATGTTTATTAGAATAAATTAATATGTATAGAAATAATTTGGATTAAGAGTCATATGCTTGTTGATTTCTAAAAGAATGATATGTAAACATGTCACACTTGATTGATTCACTTGTTACATATCTTTTGATTGATAAAAGTATGATATTTACCATAAGCAAAGTAATTGAGTTTTGGACAATAATGACTTTTTTTATATTAGGTTTTATATTAGGTATGTTTGTTTGTTCGTTTATTTGTTTGTTTTTTTTTTTTTTTTGGGTTCTTGATGTAAGTAGGAAGATTAAATTTTTACTTTTAATATGTATTATTTTGAAATGTTATTTCTTCAAGCATCAATCTTCATAAAGTACATATTTCAAAATTGATAATTTACTTTGGAGTAGATTGTAGTGCATAGATTGTACTTTTATAAGGATTTTGTAAGTTCATGAATAAGATCAATATCTTATCTTTAATTTATGGAAAAAAAGTAAAATCAATTAAAAATACATTACCACACACACTTTTTATGCATGAATTACTTGATGTTTGGCATTATTATTGTAAAAGTTTTGATCTTACATGTGTATAACTTAAATCATAAAATTCTAGAATCAATGGAACATAATTTTTTTTTTTTTTTTTAGGCATCCAACATAAAAGTCTTTGGATTAAACTCTTTATTAATCTCAATATTGTTACAATTGATTAAAGTCTATTATTTCATTGTATATATATATATATATATATATATATATTTTAAATCTTTTTTTGTATGCAATATCAATTAAAACTTTAGGGACATTTTTAATGAGTTTTTTGATATTTGAAGGTTTTCCTTTATTCATATCAATTAGATTTGCCTTTCTTAACAATGGTGTCATAAAAGATGATGCAAGTTACTAAATATACAAGTTTGGATTTAAGTGTTCTATTTGTAAAGCCTTAGTATAAAAATTGGTAAAATGACCAAGTCTAATTTAAGCTAAGAAATTATAAATATTAGAATACTAAATTATTATTCATAAATAGGACTCTTTGAAATATTATGAAATGATATATAGTTGATAAGAAATAGTAGAAGAAGACTAAATCTAAATGTATAGTTGTTATTAAACTCATTCATTTCTAAAAAATAATACACATATTGAAACTATATTTTATAAGTATCATGAAATCTACACTCTTTGTTGTATCATGTGTAAAAATTGTATCAAAGGCCTTCAATATCAACTTGCACTTATGATGTATATGCCTTATTAGTGCTTTTGATTAATTTATTTTTATGGCAAGTATTAATCACTTTAAACCATATTTAACACATTTAAAACTGTGGATCAATATTTCATTGATATCTAAAATCTTATAGTAACATTATATCATTAAGTGTATATTTGTTAGTTTTTATAACATATATATCTTAGCCATCATAAATTGACAATATTATTTATGAATCATTTCCTTCTAGACTCTTGTATGTTTTTTTTTAACTATTCTTTATTCAAAACCTTGGAAGTCTCTATCCATATTGCTTATAGTGTAAATTCTCTAAAAATACATAATTACAAAGATATTATAATTTTGATCTTCTTATATTTATAATTCTTTAATAACTAATGTTGCTTGATTAGGAATTTATTGTATGCATATATATATACATATATATATATATATATAGTCAAGGTCTTTATAGTAGTGATATAGAACAAGATATAGTAATGACATGGTGTTTATAATTCATTGCATGTTGCTTCAATACTAGAAGATTTTAAATGTATTCCACTTTGATAAAATAATTGAAACATGTCCTTTTTCAAATTTTACACCTCAAAACGTCTTCCTTGAGCTTGCATGATCCATGGCTTGCTACCAAAATCTTACAAAAGCATTAATCCTTGATATTCTTCAACTTAGAAAATGCAAAGTATTCCATCTCCCATACATTGTGACAAAGGTTTGTTCAATTATGGGCATATACTGAGGGCCAACTTCATTTGTTAAGTATCATGACACATCTCTATTTTGAAAAAGAAAAAGAAAAGTGAACAACATTCACTTTCACTACATGTACTTGATGCAAATATGGACTTAGTTTATACTAACATTATCAACAACAAGGGTTTGTCATTATGAGTTGGGCAGTACTGTTTTTATTGAGTGCAAACATTACATTGCATGAGCAGCTACATCATTGATGGAGTCAACTCCAGGTAGTCCATAGCTCACTTGAAAGCATTTTCATGACCCTAAGCAAAAGACATTTGCAAGAACCGAATTTAGACAATGCCTTGTAATTGGATGTGAGCAACACCTCTGCACGTTTGCAACTACGGCAAACGGCAATCTGTGCATGCCCCATCTGTGAAGCTGTATCAAGAGAGACCCTTCTGCAATCTCAAATCCTAAACGGACGACCTTGTCTCTTTGTACTGGACCTGGATAAATTCCAAAGAGTCTGGGTGGCTCTCCTGGAGACGCATGCGTCGCCCAGCATCCAGGGCAACACCTTGATCCAGGAAAACCTCTACGACCCTGAACGGCGTGGAGATGGCCAACCTCACAAGCTTTGAGGATAAAATCTAAAGTCGCTTCTGCGACCCTCCCCGCCACATAGGATCGCTGGAGGTGTGTTCTTTCGCCACTCCGCACCTTTAGTAGAACCCACAAACTATTTGTGGGGGCGACGTTGGTGACATGGATTCGTTGTGCAGCCGGATATTTGCGAGCACAGCAACGTGAGGCTTCAGGAGCAGGACGTTGAGGCCGCGAGACCATCTCCACCTCTGTGGTAAGGTGGAGGAAGAGAAGCAGCGAGGCGGCCACCCCGCCGGCGAGGGCCGACTTTGTTCAGCCGCTGTCGCAGCGCTACGCGCACCTTATCTTGCCCTGTCCGCCCTCGCAGCGCACCGGAACGGCAGCCGGATCGAGGATTTTGCAGTGTCCGCAGGAGTTGAGGAGAGAATTGGGAGGACCGGAGCTAGAGCGATGGCGACCCAAGTGTCGTCGTTCTCGGTGGTGTCCACGGGCGGGAGGGTGGGAGCTGCATGGGCGGGCGGAAGCAGAAGCCAAAGAGGGGGCACGTCCGTGAGGAAGCGGGTGGCTGTCTGTGGACTGAATGTACATGTTAGTCCTCGCTCGCTCCAGCCTCGTCTGTGTAGTCGTTTTGCGTTGCAGCAAGAGTGGGGGGTTGGGAGTCATCTGTTAACGATGCGAGATTTGTCCGAAATGGAATTCTAGTGCGCCAGTGTCGCTGTCGGGTTTATTGGTTGTGGAGGGTCGTGCGAGTGAATGACTAAGCACCGACGTGGGAGTGTGGGGTGGCGCGCACCGCTCTACTTCAGTCGTGGAGTGGGTACCCCCAGCACCTCACGAAGCGTGCAAGCGCGTGCGGTGCGTTTGTATTGGATGTGGGAAGCTGAGTTTTGCGGGGAGAATTGGAACAGTTTGGCATGCGGAAGGTTTATGGTTTTTTCCAGAATCCCGCGGCTGTCACAGGTTTCATGTCCGACTTGCAAGAAGGTTATCGGTGGGGCTGTTCCGTTCACAGCGCATGCTTTCTGCGGACTGAAACGTTGTGAGAGAAGTCGCGGGGTGGAGCCGACGCAGGAGGGTGGATTTGGTGTGCGGTACAGAACCCTGGGTCAGTGAGCTTAAGCAGGGTGAGATGCTGTGTCGATCAAAACCTGAGGAACAATAATCACAGAGCCGGATCGACTTGCGGTGCAGGTGACGAAAGCGGCGGGTCTGACGAGAAGTGGCGGGCGAGGGGTTTCGCCGGCGGCGAGGCGGTCGCGGGTCGCGGTTCGAGCTGGTGAATCCGGGGAAGCCGAATCCAGTTCGTCGCAATCGAACGAGTCGACAACAAGGTCATTGGCAGATCGAGAGGTGTCGATTCCCCGGAGGCGAATGTTGTGCGCATGCGGCTTCGGGTTGGCTGCACTAGCAAGGCGCGAAGTAACAGGGGACGAAGCGGAAGCTGCAGAGAAGGAGGGTGTTCCAGCTGCTCCTTGCAAGAATTGTCAGGGGCAAGGCGCGGTTCCTTGTGCGTAGCTTACGAAACGCGAGGGAATGGAAGTTATGTTGTGGTCTTCTGTGGCGGGTGAACCGAGGCTGACACCGCACATTCTGTGAGTGCAGGCGATATGTGCGGCGGAACGGGAAAATGGAAGGCGCTCAACCGGAAGCGGCCCAAGGACGTGTACGAGTACACAGAGTGCCCCAATTGCTACGGTAAGGACATGCTTCACCAGGACGGAATGTGTGGGTTGAGGTGCGAGGGGTAGTGTCCGCGCGGGGCGACGGAGCGGGCATTTCAAAAAGAGGAGGGGACCAGGCACTGCTGAGAAGGCACAGAACGTGAGAACGGTGCCTGGTGCAACGCCGGTTGGGTAAGATGAGACTGAGCGCGCTGAACAACGTTGGATCCCTCGAGAATGTGACGGATGCGATGAAATGGAGCGGAGGGCGAGGTCGTCGTTTGTGGAAGTAGTGAAGATGCGTGCAGGCGCACGCTCGTGGATGCGGAGAGGATGTCGTATATTTGTTGCAGTTCTGCAGCGTGGTTCGGGCTGACGGCGCTGTTGGGTGGTGGTTGCAGGGAGGGGGAAGTTGGTGTGCCCCGTATGCTTAGGAACCGGATCGGCCAACAACAAGGGGTTGCTGCGAAGGCCAGAATCGAAAGCTCTGTTGGACCAAATGTACCACGGCCGAATTCTGCCGAAAATGTAACGTAGGAGGAGAGCGTGAGGTGAGAGGATGCTGGGACTCGGCGTACGCGGTGAGTTGGAGAGGTGAAAATGGGTGCTCGGGGACCTCCCTCGCGACGCGCGGTGTCGATTCGGTTTTGGGGTAGCGGGAGACACATCCGGGAGGGAGTGTGTGCACGGGAGGCAGCAGTGCGGAGGAGCAGAAGTGTCGAGCAGGCACGGTCTTTAGATAAGAGAAAGGCCGGACGAGGAGCTGTGTTCAGTAAATCACGCATGTTGGTTCAAAGAATGCGCGGATTATATTTTGACGTATTGCGAGTCTATGTGATGGAAAGAAGAGCAAGTAGACGGTGACATTGTGCGTGAAGATGAGGGACGGTTCAGCATCAAATCCAAAGGGAAAGATGGGAGGAAGTTGTGGTGTTTGTGTGTATTCAGCAGATGCATAGGGTTCCCAAATCCAGTGTTGATCTTGGAAGATATACGGAGTTGCAAAAGGAACATTGCGTGATGGTCCAACAGTAGACGATTGTTAAAAAGGATGGAATTTATTTATGTCACACCATATGTGACAATGGAAGTTGTTGTAGGCCATGTTATTTATGTAATCCTATGTGGAGATTTTTGGTTTGTAAACGTTGAAGCTTCTACTCCTTTAGAGACTAATTCAAGCTTTGAAGAAATGTGTTAGTGTGAAAAGTGTAGGGAATATGTTTTCATATAATATGAAATCATTGAATATTGATTGTTCAAGATGAGTCCATTCTCTTAATACGTGTTTAGATCAGAAATTGTGGCTTGAGTTTCAACCATGAAGGTTAAGCAGAATATCTGAAAAAGAATTGGAGCTGAAGCTTCTAGAGCAGTTTTAAAAGGAAGCTGTGGATATGTACAAAGATTGGCAGAAAACCCATGAGATTGTTGTTGATGATTATATTTAACTTAGTATTTAAAGTGAGACTTAAACCACAGCCAATATTTAAAGTGAGACTTAAACCACAGCCAATAATAGATTTTATGAATATGATATAATTTTCTTTACAAGTATAGTAGATTACATATGAACATTTTGCAAAGTGTCTTTTGTAACATCTAAAGTGTAAAGTGTCTAAATGTATGGTCGTTTTTTTTTTTTTTTTTTTTTTTTTTTCAAACATGTTTTTTAATCAAGAAAATGTTTTTCTTAAAGTATTATTATACATTGTATATTGTATGAGTATGTACAAAGATTATTTTGTTTGATTGTGATGGGATTAAGATTTTGAAAAATATGTGTATATATTTATATAAATATATATATATATATATATCAATTAAAAAATTTAAAATTAAACTGGATTAAATTAAAAGTTATATATATATATATATATATATATATATTAAAAAATATTCTCCTCGAGCTTTAGCTTTTGAATGTAAATAGATATGTGTATAATATGATTAACAAATTTGAAGTTGAAATTTTTCTTAAAGCATGCAATGAATTTTTTGAATGATTATTATTTACTTGGTGAGATTTTAGAAGTTAGTGATAGGAATTTTAAGATATTAAATAATATATATATATATATATATATATATATATATATTTCAATCGTTTATAAGTAGCCAATAGAATAGAATAAAATAAAAATGAAAATTATTACACATTTTTCACAAATAAATCAAGTTTCTTGATATAATCTATAAAAATCAACTCAACTCATAATCAATTCATTGATATGAGTGTTTAACATATGATTATTTTATTAGATGACTTAGATTTTCACTTATTGCTTGGCTATTTTTATGTTGTCACTTTAATTATGTATTGATATCCTATTGATATAATGTCTCGTTCATTAAATTATACAATTTTATGTTGTTTTAAATCTAATAAAGTTTATAATATGGTATGTTAAGAGAGTATAACATTGTTAATTCTAGCTTGAAATTTGTGAAGAAAAAGTTCAAGGTTATTGGATCCTCATAGATTTTTTTTTTTTTTTTTTTTTTTTTTTTATATATTCACTACATTTGTGTTGGTGGTGGTGAAATTTTGGCAACCTTCTAAGTTGTCTTGTTATGTAATTACTTGACATTGTTCTATTGTTGTTGATTTCATGTTGATGTAAATACATGTCTTCTTATCTCAATGTAGCTCCAATCTTTGCACAATCTAGCTTATCCTACGACCTAATCTGATTCTTATTATTTTCAATTCAAAAGTAACTTATCTTTTGGTGAAGAAAAATGTAATCTACTTTGAGCTTGCAAAAATATTATCATTCTATAATCTAGTGATAGATACTTTAAATATATAAAATGAAAAAGAAGAAAAAACTATTTTGAATATAACAAAGTCTCTTTTAAATATTGATGCACAAAAGATGATAAATAACAAAGAAACACATATAAGGATAGTATGAATGAAACAATCCAACATCCCTTCTTACATGTGTTTTATTGGTAGGTATATAATATTAAAGAAAGTGTATAAAAAAGAGCAAAATTGCTCAAAAGAAAGCTTTTGTAATGCCATACTATAACTATGGTTTTAAGTAAGCAAACATTTGTAGAAAGATAGCAACAAACATGAATTATTGAGTTGAACTCTTATCTTTGTTTTGAGCAATTTAGAGAGTATTTAACTAAAAACAAATCAATGATACACATGGTTGGTTGGAAGGAATAGTACTTTTTTCTATTATTTGATATAGAGGGTAACCATTAAGGTGTAACTTAATTATTCATCTTCACAATCTATATACTTTTGAAGTTAATTTTCTTAAGAATATTGTGTTAAGGATAAGAATTTAATAAAGGTAAATAAATAAGTGGAATTTTTTTCTAAAAAAGATGAAAAAATAGAAATTAGAAAATATATATATTAAAAAGAAATTAAAATGGCTATTGCCAAAAAACAAGAAAACTAGAGACCCTTGAAATTAAACTAGAAGCAAGAAAGGAGTTGATAAGAGTGAAGATGGACTTCATCCTTGCCTCTATATATATTATCTACCTAAGAACTATGTGGCGATGTTCTATGGGACCTTCAACATGTGCTTAATTTGTGAAACACATATCTTAACTTATGAGGCAAGTTTCCTCTATGTGCACCACATTATTAGCTTGTACCACAAGCTATCAATACGTGCAATACATGGCTAACTTGTTGGCCAAGTTTCTAATTTATCAATCACGTATAAACATATATAAAGGTGAAATCGCAACTATGAAGCTTTTCTAGTAGATATTATGAAATTAATCTATTTTTATCTACTTCTATCTATTTTATTTATTTAGGTGACTATTTGATTTGATATATATTTTTGTGATATTTTGAAAGGATGGAAAAATTTAGAAAATACTATAAATAAGAATAAAAGTTGGATAAAAATGCATGGATCATAGTTATAACTTCTTTTATGTTTGATCAAAGAAAGATGTAATGAAAATTTAGATCTTTATCTAATTTTCTAAAAATAGTAGTAATATTATATCTTCAATTTCATCTTTTATACTACTTTGTATATAAAAAGTATGAGATTAAGAATAAAAAAGATGGATTAATTGTTGTCTTTATTAGATTGTTGCACAATAATTATATGCAAGAATTGGGCATAAGTTGGATAAGATGATTTGGCCAAAATTATAAGAAGTAATAGTTTATAATTTTAATGATCTAAAAGTTTAATGCTAAATTTAATGACAACTACTATTGGTTGTAATTAAACTAAATATTTTTAATTTTATATTAAAATTTTTGAAGAATGACTTGCCTATTGGTTTGGTGAAGAAGTTGGTTATTTTTTTTTCTTGTTGATATGTACATAATATCAATTTTTCTTTTCTCTGGTTTTTCTTTAGGAAAGTGATAATAGACCATAATATACTTTAATTTTGAATAGACTCATGGATTTTATGCAATACAAATAGGATTTGTATTGTTATAGTTGATTATTCTCACTTATTAAAATTATATTCTAAAATCATTCATGAGGATTTTCAAACATATTGGATTTCATAGAGAGTTCAATACTTAACTTATGTAATGCTAAAGTATTATTGTTGATTTTTTTTAAAAAAAAATATGATAGAAAATTCTAAAAAATATAATTCAAAATTAATGGTTGTTGATTTGCTTTAAATATATCTAATATAATTGTAAATATAATATTCTTCAATTGTGTCAAACATTTATACTCTCTTATTTAAATAAAATGCCACAATTCTAAGTTGTTGTAACATATAAAAGGATTTATTTGTTTATTTGAAAATAAGAGACTTAAAGATTCTATATATAGTAGTTTATAACATTAACAATATATGTAATCTTTGATAGAATGTAAGTGAGATGTAATAACTTACTAACTATTGAATGATAGAAAGTGGGATTTATTGCATTGTCTTAAATTTTGGAAAGTAAGTGTTGTATTTGAACTATAAGAGTTGAGGTTAGAAGACATTGAATAACCTTAAAGTCTTCAATGTTTGGCAATAGCATGCTTGTTAAAGCATAAATGTTTTATGTGAAACTTTTATATTCTCTAACTTGACATGAAATGTAATTGAAGTATTATTATCTCACTTATTTCAAAATTTATTTTTAACATTGTTTTAAATTTGAGCCACAAATTTAGAGATATATTTGTAAAAAAAACATCATCTTTATAATATATTAAAGACATAAAATTCAAAGAATTAAAATATCAATACAATCTTCTACCATTCAAAAAGACTAGATAATTATTTAAAGATGATATAACATTAAACTAAAAGGGCTATTGCCAAAGACAAGAAAATTAAATTCTCTTAAAATAATATTAAGAAAAACAAAGGTGTTGATAAGAATGAAGAAGGCTTAACTCTTCATTCTCTCTTTCTCTTTCTTTCTCTTTCTTTCTCTTTCTCTCTCTCTCTCTCTCTCTCTCTCTCTCTCTCTCTCTATATATATATATATATATATATATATATATATAGGAGCTATGTAGCAATGTTCTATAGGACCTCCAATACATGTCCAACTTACAAGACACATATTTAACATATAAGAAGACACATATTTAACATATAAGACAAGTTTCTTATATGTGCATTACATGGTTAGCTTGTATATCAAGCTTAATACGTACAACATGTGGCTAATTTATTGGCCAAGTTGTTAGCTTATTACTCAATTATAAATATATATAAAGACAAATACACATTTATTAGGCTTCAAAGAAGCTTTTCTATAAGATAATATCAATTTATTTATATTTATTTTTGACATAATATTTTTATCTAGGTAAATATGTATGTCTATGATATAATCTCTTATTTTAGAAAGAACTTCTACAAAGAGTGATAATCATATGTTGATGAAGTTGAAAATGTAGCAAATTATATTTGCTACATACTATGATCTTTCTTTCTTTTAATATTGGTTGATAGGTCTTTTAAACCATTGATAATATTTCATACTAGAGTGAGAAGACTACCTTGATATTTGATCATTTTTGAGGCTTTTATAACTTCCTTCAAATAAAATATTTAAAATACCATCAAAGATGGTTCTTATTTTCAATAATTATTATAGACATTCAATAAGAAGATTCTAAGAATATTCTTAGAATATTTTTAGATTCTAAAAGGCTCTATAAGATTCTAAAAATATTCTAAGAATATTTTGGAAGGTTTCAAATAGTTTTTAGAATATTTTAGAAAATTCTAGAAAGTTCTAAAAAAATTAAAGAAGTTGTCTAAAAAGCTTTCAAAGGTTGCTTTATTTT